ATATATATATATGTGTGTGTATATATATATATATATATATATATATGTATATATATGTATATATATGTAGAGAGATATATACATATTTTAAGGGTGTGAGAAGTGGGCCCTATTCAATTCGGATTCTGCCTGAATTGGACTGGGGGACAGTGATTCAATTCATTGATTCGGATCACTGTCCCTGATTCAATTTGGCCAAATTTGAATCTGAAGATTCGATGCTGATTTGGAGAATCAGCGATTTGACCACAGACACAGCTTTAAATATTTTTTCTATATACCTTGAGGTACCAGGTGCAGCTCGTGAACACTGCAATGCTGGGGCAGATGGAGTGTCCCACAGGAGTGCAGGGCATCCCCCGCATGCTTGGCGGTGAATCCAGAAGTGGACCAGAAGTACTTCCAGGGTCTGCCGGGGAGCATGCCGGGGGCCCCCCCCACACCTCCCCGGCTCAGCAGTCAGTCATGGGGGGACCCCACATGCCCCCCAGACTCAGGAGGCACCAGTCGCCAAGCCAGGGGGCAGGGCACAGAGGAGCCCCCCCGCGCGCTCTCTGGTGGACTTGGAAGTGGACCAGAAGTGCTTCCGGTCCACTTTCAGGTCTGCTGCCAAGCGTGCTTGAGAGCCCCCTGCGCTCCTGTGGGACACTCAATGTGCCCCAGCATCACAGCATTCACGAGCCATCTGCTACCTAGAGGTATGTAGAAAAAACATTTAAAGCTGTGTCTATGTCCGAATCACCGAATCTTTCCGAATCTCTCTGAATCTATTTGGAGGGTTCCGATTCAATTTGAAGAGATTAAAGGGACCAAAGCTTCGCACACCCCTAATATATAGATATATATATAGATAGATATATAGATATATATATAGATATCTATAGATATAGATATATATGTGTGTGTGTGTGTGTGTGTGTGTATTGATATACTGCATGAGTGTACGTGTGTGTGTGTGTGTGTGTGTGTGTGTGTGTGTGTATAAAGGGCTTAGTTCATCTGCCTGTCTGTCTGTCTTGGAGCACTGTGATTGGTTAGTGAAATAACCAGAGGAGATGAATTGGTGGGGGGCAAGGCCGGTGGTGCTGGAGGCAGAGGGGGATGGAGGGGATGGCAGGGCAAGCTTCCCCCTCCCTCGCTCCTAGGAGGCTGCGATGGTGTGGGTTGGTGGGTGATAGCACTCCATCTCTGCCCCCCATATCATTCTTGAGGGGCAATCGGGTAGTGTGTGTGTGTGCGTGTGTATATATGTATATGTATATATATGTATGCATGTATACACACATATATGTACAAACGTGTACACACATTCATAAAGTATATAGATATACTACTCATAAAAAAACCCTGCAGCAAGAGCGACTTATTTTCCCCTGGAGAGTAACAGCTTAGGATAGGGACGGTGGGGCTCAGTTGCTCTTATTTTGCACAGAAGTTCTGTATGGAAATGGTGACTTTTGCAGGCAGAAGGTCAGGTGAATGAACTCTTACTTACAGCATGCATGATTCCAATTTTTTTTCTGTAATTCTAATAATGGAAAAGTGAGACAAATCCATGCTCCAGGCATTTAAACTTAACTAACTTTGCTTTTCTACTGATGCATTTTCTCATTAACTTGTTAAAGCTAACATGTTAACTCCTGGTACTAGCATCTGAAAGAGCTGGTGGAAATGGCCATTAATATTTTGGCTGTGGGGATATCTGATGGCTGCTGGAATTCACCGGAATATACACTGGCTGTAAATATAAGTAGAGATAATATATTTCCATTTAAATTTCATTAAAAAAACTGGAAATGGTTTCTGAAGAGTCTGAGGCTCTTTATATAACAGTTGATCTTACAGTACTGTATTTAAAATGTTACAATGTTGACTTGCTGTTACAAGTATTCAGTGTTACAGGAAATCAGAAACAATATGGAACAGTTTACACTAACTCTGCATTAAAATGTTCCATCTGTTCTTGCTTTAGGTTCTTAGAGAATTGCTTTTTCATCTCTGTAATGCTTTTCACTTCCTATTAGTAAGGCTTTTAAAGGTAGACACTGAGTTAGTATAAAACCCACAACTTTTGAGTTTAAATGCCTATTAAAAGTAAAGCTGTCTGAAAGTACAATAAAAATTTATTTTGGCTACAAAAGACAACTTTGAAACCTAACCCATCTGTATTTTTCCTCCCCCAAACAGTGCAACATCCTGTATAATAGAATATTTATCTTAAACACAGACCACATATCTTTATGAAAACAATTGTTTCAACTTAATTTATAGGGGGAAATCAGCTCATATTAAGGTTTCCAATAGTTTGTGTTGCTAATATAAAGTTGTTACATTACAGATCTAATACAATAGTTGTAATTTATCTGAATACTGATGTTACAGCTGATGCTTTATATTATCTTTTGTGTATTATAACCTAAAATGTTATATAAATCTGCGCACAATTGCACAGGGGAATTTACTTTCAGGTAATTGTGCGTGTAAATCAGGCACAAAATTGCATCCATATTTTACTGATAATTTAGGCTCATGCTGTGATATCCAAATTTATTATAGACCTGACACGATAAATATTTTAAGTAATACTTTCATCTGTTTCTGTAGTCACTGTACACACAAGATGCCCATTGACTTCAGCAGGAGTTACCACACATGTCTATAAGAGCTGCTGGATTAGATAATTTATAATCTCACACCAAGAGCAAATTACCTCACTGTGAAGGGCAGTCCATGCTTGATGCACACAAAGCAGCAATTGACATACGTGGGAGTTATGTACTTATATCAAGGAGAGGACAGACCCCTGGAGTTGTAGGCTTCTTCCATACAATGGTTTGTCAAAGTCTGAATGCAACAGAGCCTGTTTTTAGCACTCTCTAAATATAACCAGATCTGAAATTCCTGCTGAGATTCCTTTCCTTATGGATTCCTTTTTTCCTCCTCAGACTGAGAGATAAGGAGCCTTCTCTGTGGCATCAGCTTGTGTACCTTTGTCATCCCCTGATAACAGCAGTCTTTGCACATCCAAGACCTAGCAAAGTTGGTATTCTGATTGGCTTAGCTCCCCTTAGGTAGGCTACAACCATTATCAGAGTTAACCTCTTTGGTAGCTTCTAGGACACACAAATTACCCATAATGGCTTATAGGTCAGGATCTGTCTAGTCAGTCTATTTGGTCTGTTTAGTTAGTCTATAAAGGTGCATATCTACCCTAGCATCTGTCTACTCATATTTAGTGTGTCATGTCTTTGAGTCCTTGCAAACCCTAGTAATATTTTTCCAGGTGTATTTGAACCAAGATTTTTGGCACAGCAGGAATGAAGGGAAAGTAATAGTTCTGTGTTGGTAGTATATAGGTTTAGGTGGAAGCATGGGCCATTCTGCTGTGGATATATCCTTTCTACTACATGACACTGAGGAAGTTAGGTCAAGAGCTTGGCTATAGTTCCCTAAATATTTTCTTGATTCATATCTTACAGTAACATATTTTAGAATACACACTTACCTCAGTAGATCCAGTAAAAGCAATTTTATCTATGCCAACATGAGAAGCTATTGCTGCACCAACAATTGGACCAAATCCTGGCAAAATATTGACTACTCCTGGTGGAAAGCCAGCCTATCAAAACAGAATGAGAGGAAACATAGCTTGTGAAAACTTGACCAAGCAAATTAAACCAGATACACTCTGGTAGTTCTTTAACTGTAAAGAGAGATGGAGACATTATTCCTGTCAATTATTCTTACCTCCTTGATGAGGGCTCCCATATAGAGAGCACTGAGTGGTGTTTGCTCTGCTGGTTTAATAACTACTGTATTGCCACAACACAGAGCTGGAGCAATCTTCCACGCAAACATCAGCAGGGGGAAGTTCCACTGCAGGAAAAAATAAAAGATAGATGGAAAAATATTGCAGTAGTGCTTTGTTTGTGAGATGTCAAGCTGCTACCTCTCTGATTTCTCAGGCTTATCCTCAACATAAATCTTGCCCAGGACAAAGCAAGGGTTTTTTAATTACCCCCATTAAGAAAGAGGTGACATTGCCCTTTGAATTCTTCTTTCTCTTCTGTTCAAAGAATTATAACCCTTGCCCCCAATCCTCACAAAAGGATTTTGTGTTATCTGTTAATTTTTATTCACAGCTTTTAATTTCATTTAATATTTTGTCATTGGTATGTTTTATATTTCTTAACTCTTGAGGACAAATACTTCCTGCTTCTGTTGCCCTGAGAAAAAAATTTTTGCTTGCCAACACTAGAGATTTTTTAACATAGGACTCTAATCCTGGAGCACTTGAACAAATACTTAACCTTTGATAGCATTTAACAATGCCCACCCCCCAATTCTTCTGCTGTGTCAGTACAGTTTTATTACCCCCTATGTCATTTGTATTAAAACTTGTTCTTGTTCTTGCAATTGATATGAAATACAGACAACAAATTGGACAAAATTATCTCCTGGTGTTAATTTGTGCAACTCCATTGTCTTCAGCTTCAGTTTACTGTAGCAGAAGATTTGGCCTAGCATACTTGTTTTGATGGGCCAAACAGTTAAGGTTCTCTATAGCAGCCGTCATCCTAGATGTCTGGTATCCTGCAAACATTCAGACTTACTTGAGCTTTCAGCTGAAATGTGGAGGTGAGTAAAGTTACTCACATCTCCATTTATAGGAATGGTCTCAGGGATGTAACTAATAATCTCACTTGGAAAGAAAATAGAAAAGTATCAGTCACAAGGAATCAACCACTAGCTAGAAGGTGTTACTGCCTGAAGCATATCAGCTGCCACTCTCATAGACCTCTCTCTAGCCCCTGGCAAGCTTGAAAAAATACACAAATGTCTTTCCTTCACTGAACACCCTATTTCTTTCCCCCTTAGTTGTTTATAAACTTTGGAGACAGAGTGATGTTTTAATTCCATACCCAGCATATAAACCTAGGAGTAAAACTATTGGGCCGACAGCATGCTGACAGCCTACACTTGTGTTGCCTGTTGCAGCCAAAGCTCTGAAGAGTTTATTGTGCAAAATGTGGCGGTGTAAAAATAGGTGTCCATTGTTAGGAACACAACAAGTTCTTCCCTTATCTTTCTCTTGGAAGATTCCTCTGTATGTTTCACTGAAAACAAATATACACAACTCCAACCTATTTACATGCAGTATACTTAGCTGGATTGGTTTGGACTGTGCTGCCGTGTCTATTTTAGGGCCAGATCCTGGCCTGGGATCTACCTACCTGCCTGTCTGACTTTTCTTTTCTTGTTGCGATGCCTGAGGCACTTAAGCTGGATCCCCCTCTAACTGAAAGAGAGAGGAAGGAGTCCCATCACCTGGCCCTAAATGGCCATAAGGAATGCTGCAACGCTGTTGATGAGGGTAAATTTTCACAGGCATCAGATGTGGAGCAGGAAAGGAAGCTTTGCTTTATGTTAGCTCTCTGCCATTTTATTTTTGTAATATATGGCAGGGTTGCCTTGGATAAGGGCGTCTTTCCTAGAGTAGCAAATCTAAACCAAACAAATGCACGATCTTGAATACCTCCTGCCAAGTGCTGAATGTCCTCAGCTCCTAGTGGCATCAGTGGAACTTGTTAGTCGAGGGTGTTGAATAGGTCTCAGAAAATGCCTGGTTGCATTGGGAACGGGCGCAAAAGTTCTGATCCTGCAAGCATGTCTGCAAATGTGTAACACATGCACGCACTGCCATTGAAGCTACTCATTCAGCAGAGCTACTCATGTGAATTAAGTTAAGAATGTGCAGGGATGTCTGCAGGAGGGGTGCCTTTGACTGTGAGCTCCTTCCCATGGTTGTCCTAGTTTCTGAAGAGTGCCAAGCACAACAGTCACCCCTCCACAAAGAAATGAAATAATAATAAATAGTAATAGGAAAAAGAGGGCTTTCCATTGTTAAGGCAATCTTTTCTGGTTGCTTCTTTTTTACTGGAATCTCTCTGTTGCAAATGCATCCAGGCTATTTAGTGGCTTGTGGTTAACATGAACAAGACAAAAAAACAACAACAACAACAAAATTCAGAGAACATCTTGATTCCTTCCCCAATGCTTTGTAAAGGAAAAGCTTCCACACCGTATTTTAATAGCTATACATGAGCCTCCCACTGAAATTTCTGCCAAAACCAATTAACCAGCACTTTTGAAAACCTAACTTATTCAACAGTGTTCACATGCAGCGTTCAGCAAAAGTCTGTTGAAGGTGGATATTACCATGTGAAAAAGTATTACATTTAGTAAAATATTAAGTCTGTCTCTTGTAACAAGAAAAACAAACCTTTCATGTTTTTAATTATTTGCATGATATTAATTGTAATGACATATCTTCTGGAGTTTCTTCTTCCCTAGCCTTATAAAAAGAAATACCAGGAAAAAATAGAATTAAAATACATAACATTCTCCCAGGATCTCAGAGGAGACTGTTAAATCACAGTAAAAACTAAATAAATAAAAAGAGTGCCACAGCAAAGCATCAATTTTCCGTAAGTTGTGTGAACATCCATAACCACTGACAGCATATTAACACTGTGTTTTGCTTTGCTTGTTTTAATCATGAGAATTCTATGACTTGAGAACTTAACTCCTAATAACAGAGCTAAAACCCTATTAGCATGTTCAAATAAGCATTTGCAGGGAGGCTGTTAAAGATATGTCAACAATATGAGCTCAGCTTTTTTCGTAATGGAAAACACACATAGCTGAGGTCCACGTTTTATGTGTCTTTAAAGAGAGCTGGTTCAAATGAAAATAAATATGAGGCGCTAGTAGAGATACTCACAGGGATGATCTGTCCACACACTCCGATGGGTTCATGTCTTGTAAACGTAAAATAATCTCCATCTGAAACAGATGAGCATGGTTACTATCAAGTGCAGTTTGACTTGGCAGAACAAAAAAATAGAGTGGGGGGAAGAAGCTTAAAGGATCGGCCTTTGATGGCAGTAAAAGAAATAAAGAAGTCATTGAAATGTCTTTCGTGAGCCAGCATGGGAAATCTGAGTTCAAGAGCAACCCAATTTTTCTTTCCCAAGAACAAAGGTGTTTAGGCACCTCATACAAAGGTTCCTTGGGAAAGAGTGAATCTATGTGCAATGAAGTTTTAGTGGTGGCCTCAAAGGAAGCTGTTTACTTGCTTTTCCTGATTCCAGCCTAAAAAAAGAGAAGAAAAAGTTAAAGGGGGTAAAATGGCAATTTCCAGTGTAAAGGGATGGATGGAACACAACAATATAAGAAAGCAGTGCTGGGCTTGCCCAGATCCCACTGAAAATAATGGGAGTCTGGTGGAATAGAACAATATAGAAGAAGCCACAATTGAGAACAAAGGATAGAAAACCCTAAAAGCCACTGAAATGGATATACAACTGAATCCAATTTCTCTGCAAAAGACAAGAGCCAGAAATAAGTTATCACCACTGTGGTATCACAAAGGACTTGCTAAAAAAGGCCTGCATTGGGAGTGGGACTAAGCAAAAAATATGCAGTCAGGTAAAGCTGGCAGGGGAAAGCTAAAGGCAGTAGTAAAACAAGACAAAAGTGAGTAAGAAAGTTTTTATAAACATCAGCCAAAGAGGGGAGATAATGAATGTGGAGGGGGACAATGTCTCTGCTGATTCTGAAATGATGGAGCTAAAGAACTGCTTTCCGACTTGTCTTTAGCTGGGTAAAAATACCAGAGGGATGATGTGTAAATAAAGACCTTGTAAGTGAAGAGATAGAAGAGAAAATGTACTATGTGGAGAAGTGGAACCTACATACAAAAACAGGACTCTTGAGGGAATTACCTAATTAACTTTCTGAGTCACCAGCAAGTATTATTTTAAACCCCAAAGAACTAAGATGTGGTAGGTGCTAGTAGCCTACAATAAAGACTCACATAGGGAATTTCTCTTTTTTTGCTAAATAAGTGTAGTTTACAGAGTCATCCCAGGCAAATTCATGAAGAAAGCAGAAGCCTGATGGCATCCTGGCTTGGGGTCAGATCTGTGTTTTGCAAGCTCCCTTTCACAGGGCCTTGCTTGGGGCTGGACTTCTCTGGCGCTGTACAGTTAACCCAGGTGACTGGCGCATTAAGACTGAGTGCCTGGGTGGGTCCTAACCAGATTACTGAATCCTCATTGATCCTGCACCTGTGTCTAGGAGCAGATCCTCTCCCCCTTTGCCACAGAGCACTCTTAGATTCTTTCCCATTCAGTTGTATCAACTACAAGAAAACAGTGTCTGCTCTGGAGGAACTATGGGAGGGCAAATGAGAAATGATGTCCCCTACATTGTAGTGCAAAGTGGGAGTTGAAGCCTGGGTTAATGCCACTCTTGAGCTGGGGATGTTAGCCCTGGGTCAAACCCATCAAACCCAAGTCAGCTATTTTTCTGTCTGGTGCTAGGGGCCTTAAGACTATGCCTAGGTAAGTCCTGTGTTAACTGCAGTGTATATAAACCCTGAGAGTGAACTTTTGTCTATAACAACACATATGTATTTATGCATGTAGACATCTGTTCATACATAAGAATAATTTCAATTAAATATGAGTAAGGTTGGTCAAGTGTACCTAGGCTTATTCTCAGGGGAAGGACCGAAATCACAGCACTGAATGCTTATTTCATATCAGACATCTGGTAACAATAAATGGGTTAATCCAGAAAGTTTCCTGGTTTTAAATATAGGCTTTGTCTTAACTTTGATTAGAAACAAACTTTCTTAGGCTTACTTTTTTCTGCAAGTCTATTTCATTTGCTTTGTGTAGGGGAAACACAATAGAATGGAAACAATACATGAATCAGCTGGGATTTGGCTTCAAAGTGGTAACATTTTCAGGATACCAAAAATGCAATGTAAGTATAAAGCAAGAGGTAATAGTAAGAGAGGGAATGAGAAGAGAAAAGAAGTGGTGCAAAGAGAAAGATAAATAGGAGGAGTGAGAGAGAGAGCATCACATAGGGGAAGAAAAAGGGCTGATCAGTCAGTTTGGTCTGTGTAGGCAAGACCACAGGAAACAAATGGTAAAGAACACAGCAGCGGTTACATGGCAAAAGAATCCAAATGCTCTGCATCTGCATAACTAAAAGAATAATTGAAGTGTTAATAGAAAATATGGGCCTGCGCTGGGCAACACTGTGCTTGAAAGATCCTTAGCACACTCACAATACTGCAGGGATTCCCAAAGAGCAGGCTGCAACACACTAGTGCACTACAAGAGCGACAGCGAGTGTGATTAGGCCCTGGCCAGGGCATCCTTGTACAGCTGCATGAGGCTCTGTCTCTGCCTGCCCTGCACGCTTGAGGGGCCTGAGCTGTGGTGGCCCAGCACACAGGATTGAGACCTGGCCTGGGGACCAATGAATGAAGTGAGCTGCCAGTTATAAGCTGGAAAAAAAAGTGTGCCCCAGGTATCAAATACCAGGACAGTAATGGAGCTTTACCACCAGCTGAGTTGTGGCCATCCCTCTGTCATTGCTTCTCAAGAGGCAAAGCTGCAGGGAACCCAAATATGACAGTTAATTTGATTAGTCAGAATGGCATAGTCTTTCCTCTGTCAGCATTTTTCTGAGTCCTTCCAATCCAAGGCTTCTGCCAGATTCCAGAATAACTGCTCTTTTGATACCTATTTCAAATGTCCATCATGTACAGACATCACAATTAAGGGGGATTTATGAGGACATTTAATAACAACTCCATCAGCAAACACTGCAGACTTCAGATTACACAGGGGATTAAGGTACGGTTGGAAATACCAAAGGTATATCTGTGGGCTGCCTGCTGCACACCATAAAACAAAAGCATAATAATGAAATTTGGTGAAGTGAGTCATTTTAACTAAACAATGAACACTAAAAGGCTCAAATTGTCTCTGCTCCAAAACTGAACCAGACAACAATGAAATTTTTACAGTTTTAATATACACTTATAAAACCCACAATAATGAAAATGCTGCTACTTAGAGGTGGTATAAAAAGGTGCTAATGCTGTTTATGATGCTTGTTAGGATTCTCACTCACTCTCCCCAGCACTCTCCTAGTAGCTGCCAGCAGGCAGGAGGTTGCCTGAATGCAGTCTGTATATCCAACACCCGCCACAAGGTGACTGAAAGAAGTTCCATCTGTGCCAGACATGAAGATCCAGACTTTCATCTCAACAGAGCCCAAACTTTTCTGCAGTGGCTTTGAGAGTGTGATCTGTTGTCATTTGAGAGAGCTTATTCTGCATCCCTGTAGGAGGGAAAATTTGCTGTACACTGTCTTAGGCTGTCCATCTTGAAGAACAAGCCTCTCCTGGGGAACCTCTTTAAATCTGATAAATTAGCCATTATAACCAATACAGAGCCTGACCTGTTGCACTGGGGCTTTGGTTAAACATTTTTAGGCACACTTAGCTCATATCCAGGGTTGGTGAAAACTCTGGTCAGATTCTTAGGACAGCTATAAAATCCAAAAGCAGCATCCCTATTAGCCAATTCTAAGACTATTAAGAGCTATTTATTGAAAGATAATATAGAAAGTTACCCTGCTAACTGAGGAGTTGGCAGGAGGATATAAAATTTTGCAGCCAAGCCATGGACCCAAGTCAGAAGTGACTGAAAGCTGGTGTTGCTGATGGCTGTTCATGTAAGACTGAGGTTTCCTTCTTGATCTCAGCTGACAGGTCCCTGTGTCAAAAAGTTCACCCTCTCATTCATTATTCATTAATGCTTTGTGTAATAAGCAAAGTAACTGAAGATCAAATGGGTGACAGAGGGCTTCCCTGTGAGCCTCATACTCGTGTAAGTGGGCACTGGCAAGTCATCCTTTTGATTTTAAATAGGCTGACTTGCAAAAATGTATCTCATCAGCACGAATAAGGGGCATGAACTTCTGCCTTCCACCTAGGATTGGTACCTGCAGGTAAGGAGTGAGGCGTGCAGGTGACAGTGGGAGAAGCCTACACTGTGGCAGACCCATGAAATAGATAGGGAACACCCAGGCTGCTAGTCTGATCCCCTATCTGTATTATTCTATCAAATTGTTAAGGTGACTCTAGAAATGGAAATGCCCAAAGAGCATTTTTCACATTTTCTTATCTTAGATGAAAAAAAATGTTCGTTTGTTTTTTAATATCCTCAGCTGATGTAGACTCGTACTGTCTCAGTTTGCTGACTTGAAAACCTCTGCTCTAGGTTGTAGGACCTGGGTACTTGGGTCCAGAGATTTTTAAGCCTTTTTAATTGTCCATTTGGAAAGCCACATTTGTAACCAGGGGACCTCACCTCAGTCTAAGAGTGTTTGCCAGAGAGGTGTTTTACCAGCTCCCTCCCAGGAGTTAGACAGTGCCCTGGTATTAAATTTTGCTACGAATGCTTATGTAGGGAGTCCAGTATGTAGTCAGGTGGCTCATGAAGTGGCATATCCCAAAAACTAAGAAACAGAGATGAGAAATTCAGCTCTGGATATTCGTCTTGCAAGTCCTGATCTGTCCTGTGCTGTATCTATCACTGCACTTTGGACTGCAATGGATTTATTAATGTTATAGGTTTTAGCTAGGCCTGGTTCTGCTTTTATCAAAATCAGTAGTGTTTTTGCAAACAAGAGTAAAGGGCAGTATGGGCCCTTAAAAACCCTGAAATCAAAACAAATATGAATATGAAAGACATTCGTCCTCTTCCCTCTACCCTGTGCCTCTCATTGGACTGTGCCCACTTTCGAGTAAAAACCTCTTATCAGAATAGACAAAGGATGGTAATGTCTTTAACCAAGAGAGATTTAATAAGGGGCTTGTTTTCACTTTTGTTCCTATATCCAGCTTCCTTTGACAATCAATTGCCTATAAACAGTCAGAAGCTTTACCTGGATGCAGTTCTAAAACTGAGTTTACAGCATAAAACTGAAGTAATATGGAGGTGAATCAGGCAAAGGGGTGGAATTTCTTACTCCTTTAAAAGAACCAAACTGCACTTTCAAAACTGGGGGACCCAGCCACGTGCTACAGCCCATGTTTGCACAAGGGTCTTGATACCAGAACTTTTGCCAGCAATCATGGTTTGTACTTAGGAAGGTTACTGAAAACTGGGCCCCAACAATTTAAAGCACCTCCCTACCAAATTCCAATTTTCAGTGGCTGTCCTACTTTACTTGTTTGCATGTGCAGGACTGGAATAGCAATCCTGAACTGGCAATGTCTCTTACTGACTTAACTTGTCTTCTGTAGTCCTGCCGGGCTCATAAGTGAGAAAGAGGCATTTGCTGACAAGGAAAGAAGGGATTATGGAACAAGAAATTTGCTGAATATATGAATTTATGGTAGTTTCTGAGCTTTTGCTTGTGTAAATTTAAAGTCCAAGCAGCACACAAAGGATTTATGAATCTCAGCCTAATTGGCAGTGAAAATCATCTTCAGCCTTTAAAGCACAGCACAAACCAGAGGTATTTGCAGTGTAATTTTTTTTATAAAAACGTACCAGTTCCATTACATCTGGTTTAATGGTTTAATGGTTTAATTTGTTAGCATTAACTGCGTTAAACTAAATACCAGGCTGAAGAATAAACTAGAATTCAGTTAGAATGACATGATCTGTTCTTCCTTCTAAATTGTAGTGGCCAAATTTTTAAAGAGCTCAGCACACAATAGCTCTTACGCAACAGCTGTCAGGGGCTCTGGGCTCTCCCACCCTCCCCTGGCTGCTGCTTCCTGCCCTCGTGCCAGGGGGTGGGGCAGTGTGACACCTAGCTGGGAACTCAGGATGAGTTTATGCTTAGCCACACATATGGTGGGGAGATGAGAGTTGCATGCAGGGGGTGGCTGGTGCAGTGGGAGGAGGAGCGGGCTGGTGTGTGGGTGAAATCACTCCCACTTGCCCATGTGGTGCAGCAGTGTGAGGGGAGAGGTTTTGGTGCAGTGGTGTGGGGGGAAGGTGCTCACCTGGGCACACAGAGCACCAGGGGAGGAGTGTCCACAAGGCCCAGGGTCCCATGGCTTGCCTGGCATGACCCGTGTTGTGTGTTGTGTGGCCCCTGCTGGTGTGGCCCCCAAGGCATTTGGCCTCCCCTGAAGGCTTAGAAGCTGGGCAACCCCAGCAGAGGAAATACTATGACCATGATGGCGGCAGGGGAAATACCCTGACCAAGGTAATGTAATTAAAATGGCACTGTGTAGTGGAGGGTTGCACCCTTGTCTGCTTGCAGACAGGAGTCCTTACGAGAGCCTCATAGTTAGCTTTCCACTGGCCAGCTTCCAGTGAGAGGATCTCGGCTACAAGCCAACTTTATGGAAATGGGGGACTCCTCCCTAGTTTGCTCCTGCAGTCATATGGCTGAGGGCAAGCAAAACTTGGGGGCATCCAAACCCCAAGCTTCTGGGGTTGGGCCTGCATGTAGGATACCTGCCAAGGGATTTGGAAACATCTGAAGCCCTAGGCAGGGGTGGACGATGCTTAATAGGGCCACATATCATTTTTGAATGGCTCATGGATTTGGAATTGATTTGGTTGACTTGACTTTAGACACAAAATATTTTCCTTAAAAATAAAATTTTAAAAATACCACCCCCTTGCATTTTTCTCTTTTTGTATGGTTCCCCAGTCTCTCTCAATTATGTGAAATATATAGCGCTTACTGTACACAGACTCCATGTGTCAAACTGAGAAGAGTCCACAGCATAAATGTCAGGGCTGTTCCTCATTTTTAAATAAATATGTTAGTGTTGCTTTGGAAAAGGATCAACCCCTCCCAGAAATTTATGAGAGGAATTAGGATTTTTGATTATGTAGGTAAAGGATAAGTACCATTATTTGAACCACTGCAGGTGCAGAAAGTAATTTTCTGCTACCACGCACCATTTTGCATAACTACAGGAGTTGGTACATCCAGTCAAGATTGCAAACTAGTGTGTTTTCAGTGGAAAATGACCAGAAGTGTTGGTGAAAGATCTGGAAGGGAAGGGAAGGGAAGGGGAGGACAGGGCTGACAGCTAAAAAGAAAAGCTAAGAAAGCACTGCTATTTTTTCTTATCTTTACCAAAATATAAACAGCAGTCTTTTTTCTTGTACATGAAACTAAACCTTAATTCCACTGCACACCAGAAGGAAGAAAGTGTTGAAACACAAAGTACTTTATATTTATGGCTCTTTCTCTATAACAAAATTACAAACTCTTTCAAAGCACATGTGGATCTTAAGTCACAACTAATTTGATAGTCCCATCCAAGTCCAGGTGGGCCACTAACAGTTCATACTGTAAACCATGTAGGGTGCACCTACATGTGCAGTTAATATGATTGAATATACTCTGGCTCAATTTGAGCTGGAGTAAACTAATCTAAACATCTGCCAGATACCACTTGTATCTGATGGAACTACCTGGAAGTGCAGTAAATTAGTCACTGAACTCTAATTGCCATGCATGTGCAGATGGAGACACTTTACTGTGCAGCAAATTAATCTGCTGCACAGTAAAGCATCTTGTGTAGTAGCATAATATAGCACAACTAAGACTATAAGGTGGGAAAAGCAAGGAGGTAGAGCTCAAAATTAGTTCTAGTGGCAGACCTGTGTAAAGGATCATGCACAAAATTTGCCCAAATCGTGCCTGCCTTTTGGCAGCGCTCTACTTTAAAATGTTCCAAAGCACTTCATAAAGGATGTAAAATATCAGCCTTAAACTGCAGTATCTATCTCTACTGCACTGTATGCACATACACAGCAGTCAAATGGATATGCATATGAGCTTTCTACTTAGCTCCATTAAAGAAAAATATTAAATAACCTAGACAATTTTCTTCTAGGTTAATCCTGTACCAAGCAACATAGTATGAATAACTTTTCCAATTTAATTTTAAGTAATCCAAGTAGTAGGGCTTCATCTACCTGCCCTGGGAGGTGATTCTATAAGTAAGAGGTCCTATAGTATTTAATTTGGCTCCCTAAGTGTTTGTAGGTGTGTATTATATACATAATACAAAAGAAAAATTGGATTGTGGCTCTTTGAACTCCACTTACCTACAGGAATGGTCATTCCATGAATCTTGTCTGCCCAACCTGCATAATACCGCAAGGTTTTTATGACTCCTTGAAGATCTACATAGAAAGCCTGAAGAAAGGGTTTGCCACTGTTCAGTGATTCCATGGTCTGGAGGACAAGAAAGTGAAGAGCGTATGAGCAAAGGAGCACATTTAAGTTACATACACTTTTGTATTCACTATTCAAGTGCTCAAGTACTGACACTAATAGTCTTCCCTGGTACAGTCACATACCAGAAGCTTCAGCTATTAAACCCCCCTTTTTGATACTACTTTGTATAGAAGTTGCAACACTTAGGGGGAGGAACTTTTAGCATTATCGGGGGGGGGAAGGGGGAAGAAGTTGATATTTCTATTGATCTGAAACAGGCAGAATTTTTCTTGAAAAGTCCCTAAAATCCCTATAACAGTGAAGTGTGTGTGTGTGTGTGTGGACGTAGTAGTCACTGTGTTTGTTCCAATTATATAAATACAAAATTGCTTTAATCAGAGGCCAAGATAAAACTGCCTGTCAAACTAGGTTCTGTTATGTTAATGATAACAGCTGAGCAAGGACTTCTTGTAACCCTATATTAACAATCTGAATCCATAAAGAGAAGAATGGACATATCCTTCTGTATATAATTGATGTGAATATAAAAATTTCTCTATATAGTTGCCAAGACCCCTGCTGAGGGCTGAGATATCTATAGTGTACAGCCAGTTTATTTATTACCATCAAATAAACAAACTCTCCTCTAGGGAAGCTCATAATTTAACAAGCTAAAGACCTTATTTTCAAGTCAATATTCCTACTAATAACAGTATCTTATAAGATATCCTCTTAAGAGTCTCAGATTGCTTAATGAAAAGAATCCAATAAATTTTGTTAGACGTTGAGTAGCTTAGCTGATTTTCAACGGTTATCTAATAGAAATTGTTACAAATGGATAAATGGCATACAAAATAGAAGGAGTACTACGTAAATATATACAGACCAAAATTTAATTCACAGAACAATAAGGGCCTAATTCTACACTGACTTACATCCAAAATTAAGTTAGTGGCATTGCATGCAGTGCAATTCAGCAAAGAATTTGGCTCTAGAAATACAAATCAAATGACAGGCGAGTAAACTTGATTTGCTGTGCACTTCCTTCTCCCTGTGGTGATTTTATAGCATTCACTGGTGGTTAGATGATTTAAGTATTGACAAAGCTGGAATTAAGATGTTCACTGGCTTAGTTCAAAGCGGCTGACATGCAGAAAACATCATTAACAATGCTGCAGTGTATATGCTTTACTTATGTGGTAAAAAGCACAGTTTTTAAAATTTAGATGACTGGTTCTGCACTGCATAGCATTTCCTCTGCCAATTCATTAATTACGGCACAATTTGTGTTAGGCATTTTTCCATTTTATTTTAGAACATGGAGCAAAAATATTAAGATACGTTACATACACATACTCAATCTGAAGCCCATCTAAGTTCACGCAAAGACTGACATTGACATAGATAGGCTTTGGATCAGGCCCTGTCTAGCATATTTGGAAATATTAGCCAATCTGATTTCAGTTTCCACATCTGAGAACTCTGCTCTCAGCAGATAACTCTTGATTTTTCCCTTGCTTCACTTACAGCAAGAATTGCCCTGTCTCTTTCAACCAAATCTGCCAGCTTATCCAAGAGATGGCCTCTTTCAGAAGCATCCATTCTCCTCCACACTGAGCCTAGAGAGAAAGCAAGGCGTGCTGCCCTCACCGCTTTGTCTGTATCAACCTGTCAAGGAGGAATGAAAAACAGAGCACTGAGGTGAACACCAAAAAAGAATTAGTTGGCATCTGAAATTTCCTAACAAACATACAATATATCATAATCACACCATGCCGGCGTAGGGTTAATGAAAGATTAGCAATGGTATTCTGGAGCACAGCCATAGTAGCTGTTGGTTTTGGCCTGTTGTACATTTTTTTAACATCTTATAAGGACATTTTACCTTGTCAGCTTCCTGGATCTCACAGATCTGCTCTCCTGTGGCTGGGTTATATACAGGGAATATTCTCCCACTTTCAGAATTTTGCCACTCATTATTTATGAAAATCTAAAAAAAAAAAGAGGGAAAAAAGGCACTTAACACTTCTGGATCATTGTGTATGAATGAGGAACTCAGGGCTTCCTCTAAAAAGCTTTAGTGGTATGTAGAGGCTTTATTCATCTGAGATTCTCACTGAAGTCCTGGCAGAGGTTTGCAGAGCCTGGTACCAAAGTACTGTACTTGACTAAAACATTACAGTGTATTTGTAAGTTAAAATTAAGGTTCTGATCCAGTTTGTGGCAGTTTAGCTAAAGAAGCTGGATCAAGCCCTAAAAAACATTACTGAAACTGAAATTTGATTCAAATGTACACATAACCAAATCAGAGAAAAGCCATGAAACTGCCAGGGTGACAGCAAGACTTTGGCTTAGTTACCAAATCATTCTTTACAGGAAACAAACATTTTGCCCCTGAAACTCCCCAGTCTGTATCCAGCCTCAACTATTGGAGCCCCCCACCTCCCCATCCAAAGTCAGTTGATTATATCTAAAACTTGCTGCACAAAATGAAATGCATCATTTATCTGCATGGAACAATGCAAATGATTGTTATGTCCTGTCAGTGATGATTACATTTTAATTATAATAAACTTCAGTACACCTGATCAGCTGCTATTTTGGCAAATGTAATGTTATTTTTGCCTGCTGGGAGAAGGAAGTGCACAGCAAATCAAGTTTACTTGCCTGTCATTTATATTGGTAGCCACTTAAATAATCACATTTCTTCTGTATATCTCTGGAGAACAAAATGCACATTTTTATTGGGTAAATTGATGTCACCCTAACAGAAAAGGGTGAATGGTGTCATCAGTGGTCAGCCTCTTTCTCATCCTGAAAATCTTTTTGAGACAAAGAGTGGAAGTTTTCAGAGAAAGCCAGGCACCACATCGGTTCCTAGGAGTCCACAGCTCAATGTTCTCTTATTGTATTCCATGAAATACAACTTAAACTCCTAGGGAGTAGTCCTGGCCTCACTGTAGTCAAGAGGAGCTTTATCACTGACTTCACTGGGGCCAGGAGTTCACTCCTAGACAGGAGCAAAAGAAGGAATGTTCATAGTCCTTTTCTTGCAACGCAGTTTAAGTTGTGTTTATAGGGATAGGGGACTGCTCTCTGGCTAAAGCAAAAAAACCCCCTTACAAGCCCTGAGATTCTAGTCTTGCAAGACACTAAGTGACAGGAGTCAAAGGAAGCTGAGGAGCTTCCACCTAATATGACATTAGTACTTCACTACACACAGGGTTCAAGCCTGGGAAGTGCCAGTTGCCCATCTACTGAATAAGAAGCCCTTCAACACCATGTGTGATCAGCTGCAAATTTATAGGCTAAGGCATTTTGTGTTGTAGACATCACTGCTGTAGTGGGTGATTATAGCCACATGTTCCCTTTGCCTTGAGATTTTTTAATGATGGGGTTTATTGGTTTGTTGGGAAGCCAGATAGTGGCTCACTGTTATGGAGAAGCACACAGAACTACTCATTCCATATAAAGAGCCAAATACAATTGTAGTATGATATTCTGCCCAGGGCTCTCCCACTTGCCCAAGGTCACAATGCAATGCCAAAGCAGACAAAGAGGGTGTGGAGCCATGCTGTCCCACCTGAGCTAACCCAGAGCAGTACAGACATGCAGAAGAGAGCCTGCTACTCTACTGAGGATAGAGGATTTCCAGTTAAGCACCTTGGGTGTGATGTGACACTGCACTTAGGCAATGCACTCTGTACAACCTGGCTCTGAATAGGGCACTCAAAATTTGGCGTTCAGTCACTCCAGAGAATATCCAAACATTTGATTTAATTTAGAAAACTGCATAATTCAAAATATGTGGGACATCCCACTTGGCTGGAATGTGGCCAGTTCCCTAGAGCTGCCCCACTTATGTCCCACCACTTATAATGCAAAATTACAGTAAAGTAACTTTGACACTGAAGTCAGGTTGAAACCATGAGTTTCAACAAGTTTTCACTTGAAAACAGTCAATTTTGCACACAAACTCCACAGCTCCTCTGATATTCTTTATGAGAACTGCCCTGTTCTCACTGGAGAAACCCATGCATTTGGTGAAAATTGGCTTATTTTTTTAGTTCATACACACACAACATGAATTCATGACAAATATTTCATGCCCTTCTACTTTCCTTACAGATCAGTTATCAGTAACTGCTGTGCTTTCTAGGACATAACTTGTACTTCTATTTTAAACAAAATTAACATTGTGGACTTGTATAAGCAAATGCCATGAGATAAGTCATTGCCTTCAATTACTGGCCACTGCACTACAAGAGACCATGCTCTGGATTCTTTGGTCCCAGACTACAAGGAAAGGATCATTGTCACAATGACAGGCCATTGTAACTCTGCTGTGGACATTTCACCCACAGATTAAAGGTAAAGGAAGATGGCCTTGAGCTGAATTACCTGACAGAGGCCCTGCCCAAATGATGAAGCTGTACAGATTTTTTCAGAAAAACCTTCTGTGAGAACGCCATTGCTGTACTTATCACAACGTGCCTTGGGTTTTGAATTCTGGCGAAACTCACATGGTAACATATTCATGTGTAAGTCTAGACTTTACTGTACAAACAACAGTAATATAAGACTGCAGATCTGCTGCTGAATTAGCTTCTATTAGAAAAACGCTAAGTCTAATGATCAAATGGTTCAGAGCCAGGAACTCCTCAGTTCTTAGAGTGACTCTCACACTCTGTCTCTTTGGCCTTGGGAAAGTAATTTTGCTTTTTGCCTCCTTTTCCCTATTTGCAAAGTGTGGCTAGTGGCAGTAAGCTGCCTCTAGGATACTAAAGAGTAAACTTATAATGCTTGTAACTCTGGCTGTGCAAAAGCCTCACTCAGCCTTGTCTCTTATCACTGAATCACTGAAATCACAGGCATATTTATGCTTTACATCTGCATGGAACTGCAGGAGTCAGCAAATGAACAGATAGAAGAAAAGGTAAAAAAGTGTGAGAACAATGTCTTAAGAAGAATGGAAAGGTGAAAGAGTTGTTTTAATGAAAAAGGAGACTGGAAAATATATTACAATTTATAGAAAACTCAGTCAGAAGACAGAGAGGAGGCACTGAAACTCAGAAATAAATCAAGGCCCTGCAAAAGAAAGGAAAGGAGAATGCAAAGGCAGTGATGTGGGCCTGATTATTTTTAAAGCAGAGGCTGCATATCCTTTTCAGCATGTAAATGTTAATTGTGCACAGAAAGGGCCAGTGCAATAGGAGGATTTGTGCATGAAGAAGAGGTAACTACATCTCAGGCTTCTGGGTTGCTTGGATTGGGCCCTGAGAGCTAATGTTCTGCTTTAGAAAAGTCCTATTATGAAAATGTCAGAGACTTTAGCCATGTGTTTTGTATCCACAGGAGCATTTGGAAGAGAGTGGGCTGAGCCCCAACTAAAGCCCTCACCCACCTGCCCTCAAACCAAGAACCAAGCAATCTCCTTTCCCCAGGTAAGCAGGCTCATGGGGCAGACCAAGCCGTATAAACAAAGGGCTCCTTTCCCTACTCCCAACGGCAGCTCTGAGGGCCATGCAGCAGCATAGTAGAAGGGTGAGACACTTTCACTTTGTTGTCAACACTAGCAACGTATTCCAACTTGGCTTCTGGACATCCCTTCCTCCCTGCTAATGACTGCTTACTGCAACCATCTCCAATGCTCTCCCTCACCTTCCCCTTGCCTCCAGTCTGAATCTCTATATGAGGCTCCTCTTTGTCCACTTGAATATCCCTTCTCTCTTCCTTCCATTTCTCATTCCAGAGCTCCTGACTAATTCAACTCATCACCTGCACTTGGGCCTAACATGCTATTTACCAACCATTCTTTTGTTTGTGTGCTGCATTCACCCTGGGTCTGCTTGTCCATATGGACTGCCTGGGAGCTTTTCAGACCAAAGTCATTATTATTATTATCATTATCATCCATAGCAAGTAATGCTATGAACTAAAGTCATCTAGCATATTATTGTCACTTAAAGTATATTTTAAAATATGCTGGTGAAAGAAAAAAGAACAAGGAACTCACTGGCAGCCTTTCCATTGACTTCAGTGGACTTTATATATGGGGAGGGTATGTGTATGTGTGTTGGGATGGAAGGGGGTCTTCTGTAACAGATGACCAGGGAAGGTGGCAAAGGTGATTGCTCAAGACTGAAAAGGGAACACAGACTTGAACATTCATGTGCTTTTTTTCAGTCTTGAAAGAATAAAATATTTTGAATTATTAAAAGAAACAAGCAGGCTAGGAGGCTGGACAGGATAAGAGTGAACGGTAATCTGGTATTCCCATAGGCAACTGTTGTGGTTTTGTGAAGAGAATGGATCAAGGGATCCAAAAATGACTTACTGTGCAGTCATTCAGTACCTGCATAAACGAGTGTAAGTATAAATAAGTACTTATGTAAACTCAGATTACTGCGCAGTAGCATCAAAAAACAGCGTTTTTGTGACACTGACTGCGCAGTAGCCCAAGACTACTGCGCAGTAGCATCATGTTGCAGTTGCTGCCATGTGACACTACTGTACAGTAGTCTCAGGCTGCTGCAAAGTCAGCATTTTGTGTAGACGCAGCCAACTTCTGGGACCAAGAGCTATCATCAAGTCTGCCAGTATATAGGATGTGTATACATTGTTAGCATGTTAGCTACATGCCTACAGCTTAGGGTTTGGCGATAGCAAACTGGAAATCACAGGAGACTGTTTGGTGCATGCTGCTAATGTATGGTGTAATATTTTATGGAACACTCCATTTATTCCTATGATATTTAAAAAACAGCAAAAGCAAAAATTTATAGAACCTGGGAAAAACCCATTTGGCACAATGTGGAGGTAGAAGGCAAAAGAAATTGCTACTGTTAATGGTTAATGTTAGTTTCTTCCTGTTCCACTTTCTATAAACATGGTAATGCCTATACAAGCTCATTACTGTAAACTGAGCACATTTAAATTGGCAGTTAAATCAGAGTATTTACTCTAGTGCACATATAAAGTACCTCGTCC